AATAAACTCTTTAATCTATGCATAAATGCATAAGATGCAATGGACATAAAATGTCTAATGCATATGCAAATAATCATATTTGTATTCTTCTTGAAAATTCTTTTCTAATTCTTTCTGAAATTCTTTTCCTTTCGTTCTGAAATTGTTTCTGTTTTCTATTTTTTATTCTGTTTTTCTTTATTTCTGAAACTCTTTCTGTTTATTGTTCTGGTTTGCCGATCGGACTAGGCTGAGGCATGGATTTGGAGCCCTGGCCGTGTGAGTGTATTCTGAAATTTTTTCTAGGTACAATCATCATTCACATGCACTTCTAGCGGACTGTACAATTCTGTTTTCTATTCTGTGGCTGCTCACTGATGGTGGCGTGCATGTGGAAAACTTTTGCATCTCTGTCGCCACTAGCTAATGCAACGAATACTCACAGGTTTCCCATCGTAACAACCCTATGAAAACATACTCTGTAAATTTGCAATATAACTAGTTAAACATTTTCTAATAATTTTAAAATTTCTGAAATATATGCTATGCTATGTCATGCATTTATATGCTGTCTATGCATGATCTCAAAATATGTGTCTGATTCTGGCATATATTCTATTAATTCTAAGGCTTTTATTTCTATGCTTTTCTGGAAAGCCCAAAGTTATATTCTAGTAACACGCTTAACTTAAACATTTTCTATTTTATTCTTTATTTCTGAATTCTGTGCATTGTGTGTACGTATGCGATTCTATAATTTCTATATAATTCTGTAATTCTTCAATTCTATAATGTTTTGTAAAATGTACACGTACACAATTATATTATCTCTCACAAATTCTACTATTCTATAATTCTATTAGTAAGATATTAAAATGACACAATTCAACTAGGGAATGAATTCTACATTTTGGACAATCTAATTTCATTTATAAAAATCTATGCCACACACATAATATATATATATATCACATAACCATGTCATTAAACTACTCTCTAATATTTTCTAATGTTACAAACATGTCTTATACAACTTTCTAAATACAAATTTTAATGCCATCAATTTGCATTCTCTTAACATGACCATCAACATTGTTATACATGCTCTTCTTTCTTCTTTTCTTTTGGCTACATTCTATACATTAATATATATTGTCATATTAATCATTGTAAATACAATCTAACATATAGCACAGCATATATAGTTTGGCTAAATTCTAATTTTTTTCTAACATTCTTAACTAAACTTTTGGGCAATACAACATATTATTAAGATCTTCTAGCACAATTCTATAGTTTGTAAAATATAATAAGACATGAAAACTATACTCATACTAATCAATTTCTAAAATGGTAATGTATTTAATACATAAATTAAACTTCTATTTCTTTGATGTTTTTTTGATATTTATACTTGGGAAAGCTTTTCTATTCTTTATATAATAAAATCACTTATTACATATTGTTTATAGCTAATCTCAAACAAGAAACAACAATATACTCATTTGGCCAAGCCATTCTTTGAACGATCTTCTAATTTCAAGCATACAAGCTTGACAATTTATGGTGGTATATTATAATATTATAATGTAATCACCCATCTTTTACTATCATCAATACTACACTATTGCAACAATTTAATATGCAATTATTGCCATCATTTTTCTAATTTCAAAACTCATAATTCAATGACTAAATAAATACAATATGTCATTCAAACTAGTGCTAAAAGTTCAAGCAACTTGAATCATGCACTAAAAACCATTCATTTAATTGAATTAACATAATCAAGTGTTATTCTAAATTTTGGCATAACAAAATATATTCTTGAATACTAAGGCTCTGTTTGGTTCATTATTGGGTAATTTTTAGAATAATCTTTTGAAAAAAGTTAAATTGGGTGGGTATTACGATGTAGCATTTTAAAAATTAACATAAATACCCTCATATTTATTTATTTATTAAACAGCCTCAAACATAATATTCAAAATTAACAAAACACCCCCAATCCACTCATAAATAAGGACAACCAGCCACCACCGCCGGAGAGTGGCCAGAGTTGCTGTATCGGCATATGACCGGCTCGATATGGCTGGTCGTGCGTCGGTATGGCCTTTTTCGGCCAGATCCACCATGGATCTGGCCGGAAAAGGCCAGATCTGCGGCTAGATTTGGCCATTGATGGCCAGATCTGATCGCATTTGGTCGTCAACGACGGCCAAAGATACGGCCTTCGTTGATGGTCAATGACGACCATATCTTGGCCGTCGTTGACGATTGTCTAAGACCAAAGATCTAGCCGTTGTTGACGATTGTCTACGGCCAAAGATCGACCGTAGATCTGGCCGAATAATGTTAGATCGGCGCACTACCAGCAAGATTCAGCTGATAGTGCGCCATTACACCAGATTCCGACCAGCTTTCGACAGTGGTGGTCGGAATCTGGTAAATTTGGGTTGCTGAGATGTTTTTGTCAATTTTTTTTTAAAAAATTGGGGGTTGTTTAGTTAAATTAATAAATTTAGGGGGATTAAGGGAATTGAATAATTTAGAAAACTATTTTCAAAATAGGTGAAATAAAGTTAACTTTTTTGGGAAAACTAGAAAAGTTTTCCCAATATGTGAACCAAACAGAGCCTAAAACCTTACACTTGGTTAAGTCTAACATAACCTTTCAACTCCAATTCTTTCCTTTCTCAAACAATTTCTTCAACAAGATTTAACAAACTCATGCATGCATTTCTTTTTGAATTTTCATCAAACAATTCACATGCACATGCAAATATTTGGTTGACCACACTTCCACATCTCTCCAAATCCACTAAAATTGGAGCAAAAACTCACCAAACTTAACTTCCAACACTTCCAAATTCCAACATCAAGTCATCCAAAGTTCAACCAAAACATCACATCTACATAACTACTCATCTTGGCTGAATTTGTACACATTATTTTCCATCAAACAAACATCTGAACAGCCAATACTTCTTATCATACACAAACACTCAAGAATCAACTTACACATATACTACTCAAATTAAAGCTTAGATTGGGTTTACTTACCTTGCAATAATCATTTTCTTTGCTTCCTTTGCTCACTTTCTTCATTGATTCATGCTTAAAAAGCCACAAAATGAACATATATTCATTTAGGCATGAATTCTCATGTAATTCCCTTGGAAGACTTTGAAGAAATGGAAGAGAAATGGGAGAAGAAGGTGGCGTGCTCAAGGGATGAGAATGACTAGGGTTTGTCAGTTGAAACCTTATAACTATATATATATTCAGTTTGCCCTTACACTTTTATGATAATTCCAATTATGTCATAGGTATATTTATCGATATGCTCTCACTTTCAATGGATTTAACACATGTCCTTGGTCATTTTCAATCTCCACTCTTTTATCTAGTTGTGAGTTAAAAGACTATTTTACCCTTATTCTTTAATTTCTTTCTATTACTTTACAAACACGTATTTATCTCGGCATCACACCACGTGTATTTTCCATAATTTTTCTACCACTCTATTCTCATGGCTAGCACACTTAATACATAATATTTATCATGCTCACTTTTCACTTGAGCATGTGGTTCTGTATGAAATGACCATTTTGCCCCTATTGAAACTTTTATGGAATTCCTCTATAAAACTAGTTAAGTATATTCATTATGACTATAAAATAATCCCTACTATATTTTTTAATGTGGGTATTACATTCTCCCCCCCCCTCATAAGAATTTCGTCCCTAAAATTCTAGCACTTATCTTGGGAACATATTCTTTCATCTCTTGCTTTATCCATCACGTAACCTTCTCTACTTTGTGATTCCTTCAGAGGACTCTCATTAGTGGAATATTCTGATCTCAGACTTTTATTATCTTTTTGTCCAGCATCTGAACTGGTTGTTCTGCATACACTAGATTCTCTTCTAATTTCTACTTCATTGTCCTCGATACATACGAAGGTTCACTCACTAACTTGCCAAGCTACATGACATGGGATAGATGAAGTATCATATTTGTACTACAATAAATCTATAGGTTCCCTTGTCCATTCTTTGCGATATCTCAATTGGGCTTAAATTTCTTAGAATGATTTTCTTATCTATGCTGAATCATAAGACATTTATGGGGGCAATTCTTAACAAAAACTCTGTTACCCACTTTGAATTCCACATTTTTTTTTTTTTAAGTCTGCGAAGTCTTCTATCTTTCTAGGGCTCAATGTACTATTTCCTTGGGTATGTCGGATATCCTGACTATCCTTTTGGCATATATTCGGGCTAACCATTCTCATCTACTTTTATGGTCACTCATAGAGTAATATATCTCTTTTACACTCGCCAACTTATTATCTAGTGTTGGTTACTCATAGGCCTTTTTCGGTCATAGATCACAGATTCATGGTCAGAAACGACGAGATCTGGCCATTTCACGACCAGATCTCGCCGTGAAACAGTCCAGATTTGTGGCACTACTAGTGGCTGCAGGCGGTGGTGGTTGGCTGTCGGCAGTGGCTTGGGGTGGGTATATGTGTTTTTGTTAAGTTTAAAACGTTTTTGGTTGCTAAGGTATTTTTGCTAAATCTGAAAAGTAAGGGGTTCAAAAAAATTATTCAAAAAATAATAATAAAATGTACTATTATATTAATATTTAAAAAAACGGACAATTTGGTAATTTATGTAACATATTCACCTATTTATCATCTCAACCAAACATATTATTCATCAATTTATTTGAACCAACCAAACATATTTTCTAATTATTTTTAGTAATCTTCAAGGTAATATTTCTTTTTATTAATATAATATTTTTTATAATAAAACATTCTATAATCTAATCACCCTTATAAGATTTCCAAATTTATATTTATTCACCTTTCCCAAAAAAGGTCGCGAGTAGTCAATATCTGTCACACTTGGCGCGTGACAAGAGCCTTCACTCTCACACTCATTTGGAGCCAACCAATTCCTCGTAATATAAGCCACTCTCAATCATTTCAAATTCAAATAATTAAAAAAAAAAAAAAAAAAATCGATCCTCCTTTTCTCTTCGAGCTCTCTTCACTGTTAACTTCCAAATTTGAATGGAAACCCTAACCAGAGACCAATATGTTTACATGGCAAAACTCGCCGAGCAAGCCGAGCGCTATGACGAGATGGTCAACTTCATGGAAAGTCTCGTGACTTCCTCTGCTCCAGTAACCGAACTCTCCGTTGAGGAGCGCAACCTCCTCTCCGTGGCTTACAAGAACGTGATCGGTTCTCGTCGTGCCGCGTGGCGGATCATCTCATCGATTGAGCTGAAAGAGGAGAGCCGCAAGAACGATGACCACGTGGCGATGGTTAAAGAGTATAAGTCGAAGTTGGAGAATGAGTTATCCGGTGTGTGTGGGACCATACTGAAGTTGCTGGACTCGCACCTGGTGCCGTCGGCTACTTTGAGTGAATCGAAAGTGTTTTTTTTGAAGATGAAGGGAGACTATAATCGGTACTTGGCTGAGTTTAAGGTTAATGACGAGAAGAAAGCCGCAGCTGAGGAAACAATGTTAGCTTATAAGGCAGCTCAGGTGTTCAATTTTATTTGTTAGTGTTTTATTTTTATTTTCAGATTAGTTTATTACAGTAGATCTCACTAGTTTAGAAATTATAACAAACTTATCTTTAGTTTAGTGTATTTTATCCGCGCAGGGGTCATGCCAAATGGATTTGTCTCTAAATAAGCCAAACCGGAGAGTTTTTCATTGTATTTTATTTTATTTTTTAAGTTTGTGTGGTCGTGGATGTGTAATTTTGGTTTATTTACTTGAGTTTGAAGGAAATCGCACTGGCTGAGCTATCACCCACACATCCGATAAGGTTGGGGCTGGCACTCAATTTCTCTGTGTTTTACTATGAAATTCTGAATTCATCGGAGAAAGCTTGTAGCCTTGCAAAACAGGTTTGCAGCATTGTCATTTTTAGTAGATAAGAAGCTTTTTATTATTATTATTCTTGTTATTACTTTTGTGGCGTTGGAGTTTTTAATTTTGGATCTATTTGAAAGAGAGTAGGCTTGTATTATGGCCTGTAGTATCGGTAATGATAGATAAAGGAATGATGTATGTATTGTTACTCAAATTCATATCTGAACATATTACTTTGTGTATGGTACTAAGTAGTGGGTGCTACTAAAGCTTGCTTATGCATTAATTTAGGTTATGAATGTGTATCCTTGACACAGTTTTCATTGAAGTCTCTCTATTCTGTTAGAATCAATTGGAACTATATATGGACATGGCTGCTTTCTGGGAGGAAAATGAACATTTTATATCTAGTTCATCATAATGGTTTGGTATAGAATCCAGAACTTTCAAACGCTTTAGTTATTTAAATTTGTAGACATTAAAGGCAGAACACGGTTGATATTGTATTGCAGATTAAGAAGCAGAGATATGATGGTTCCAAGCTGTTGATGCCTAGATGTTTAAATGATCTTTAATTACTATCATGCTACATATATGTGTGTATAACCTGATAGCAATTAAAGATCATTTAATCATCTAGGTAAAGAGCATGATATTTTACCATGCTTAATTTTGGAAGAGCTATTGCTCGATCCTTTTATTGGTGTGTATAATAAACCTATTTGTTTACTTGGGAGTTGATGTAACATTAGATCACTTCAGTCCAAGTGGAATTTGCAATCTAATTATCTTTGCTTTTCTTTAGGCCTTTGAGGAAGCCATTGCTGAGCTGGACACTTTGGGTGAAGAGTCCTACAAGGATAGCACTCTCATCATGCAATTGCTGAGAGACAACCTCACTCTTTGGACTTCAGACATGCAGGTCTGTGCTACTTTTATTAAGGGGGCATTCATTAATCTTGCGTTTGTATATAGGGGTTGTTTTATGAGATTAGGATAATATCATATACAGTAAGTTGAGACTATTGGATCAGGATAATTCATCTTTATCCTTTTCCTATAGTCTCTACAAAGACCCTGTACCACCTGAATGATAGAATCTTCAATAGATATAGGGGTTGAGATCTTTCGACTTAAAGTCTGACTTAAATTGAAATGAATTTCTTAAGACTTTAGATTTCAATTCAGTTAAGATCTAAAGTCAAAAGGTAATATTTGAAATTAACAACTCAACTTTAAACATCTTGGGCTTAAGATATATGAATTTGACAATTCGTTTCTTGTTTTAGGGCAAAATATTTTGTTCCTATAAAGACACATGCACACATAATGGAACAATGAAAGCACTTCATTTTTCTTAGCCTTTTAAAGGTGAAATTGAATTTTTGGATTTGTTAGAGAAAAAAAATAGTAAAACAGTGTGTCAATAGCATGAATTAAGATGACCTTATCTTGCAATAGGAAACATTTGGTGTTTGCTCCAAACCGAATGAAAATCAAAACAACGCTAATGTATGATAGAAAATCCACTATACTATAATGTTTGCAAGCATTTAATTTTATTATATTGGTTTGTAATAATACGATACAAGTTAGTGTTATTAGATAATAGTAGAAATTTGTGTTGTGATGCCAGTTATGCTCTTTTTGCTGCATTTTACTTATATGCAAGTATTGCTTGATGCTTATTGGTGCAGGAGCAGATGGATGAGGCTTAAGGTTGATGGAATTTTTTGCTCCTATGGGGAGGTGGGCTTGAATGTCATGGTATGTAAAGCAAAATATGACTTTTATTTGACTAAGTATGACTTGAGAACTTGTGTTTGTTATCCTTGTGGATTTCATTGTATTATATCTAATGTCTGATGCAAGTAGTTGGGTATATGACATGTATTGAGTAAGGGGAATGCTTTGTATTTGACAATATGAACTGTTTGGCTATGAGTGCACCTCGCACAATTTCATGACTGGGGGAAACGTTGTATTACTGATTTCCTTAATCATTGCAAAAAATGATTTTCTTGTTAGCCCATCACCCCAAGCATATCTTAATGGCATTGTCGCAAGCATTCCCCAGCTCTTGCTATTAATGATGTGATTTTGCTTATGGGCGGGCCACGTAAGTATCTGTTTTAAAGAGTTCTAGGGATGACATATGGGTAATTGGGGTGGGCTAAAAGTCAACCCATAGAAGCTTGACCCAAATCCACGCTAACTCATTGTTTAAAATTTAGACAGGGAGTTTAAATAACTTACCTCTTTTGAAGTATTCGAAATTGACAATCAGGTCTAAAACTATGACATATTACACAAACAACTCTCCTATAGTCAGTTTTGGCTTTTAAAAGTAACGGTTTGTTGGGTAAAAATGTAATTTAATTTTAAACTAATGATTTTATAAAAAAGAAAAAAAAAAGAGTTGTTTGGAAGATGTTTTATAATCATACACTCAGTATATGCTTATTATATTCAATTATTGACAAGAATTTATATATCAAAAAGTATATTTTATTAATCATATAAATTTTTTTTTGTAATTTCACTAAATTTTAATTTTTTTCTTATATTCTTATCTCTATAAGATTTTATCATATTTTCAACATCTCTTTTAAGAATTTAAAATCATAATTAAAGAAATAAAAAATAAGATAAATAAGAGGGTTTTTGATAAGATAAAATGCATTTATAAATAAAAATAAATAAAAAATGAGACTAAACTAAAATTATATCTAAGAGTTTGTTAAAATCATGATATAAATGTTGGATATTTGTCTTAGGTTTTACAAATAGTTTAATAAAAGAAATTATTCGAAAAAAAAAAAACAATATTTTTTTAATTGTAAATAGAGACTAGGATAAGGATTTTAATGTAAAATTCATTTTTAAAATAAATAAATATGAATTAAAACTTATAAAACCTCCAACAGAACACATGCAAGTGAGTGCATTGTCTTAAAACCTGATCCATTTGGAAACCTGGTATATTATTCGGGTCTTGAGTTGATCGGTCCAACTGGTTGGATCAGTGACATCATCATGATGACATCAACAATATAAAAAAGAAATGTAAAACCTGAAATTAAAAAAAAAACTGAACAACACCATTCAATAACAATCCCAACACAATGTTGTATTAATCTGATTACAAATTAAATTATAAAATTAAAAAAGATAGTCACATAATAATTAATAATCAAATCATTTGGTGCAAGTGTTTTTTCTTTGTCCACTTTCCAAGTTGATTGAGCTTCACACACTAGCATCAAACTATTCATCGTTGTCGTCATCATCATCATCTACATAAATATAAGTAAAAACTAGAAATCATAAGTTTAAACTTCTGATTTTAAACTAATTTAATTTAAAATAGTTACCAAGTCCCTTACATATTTGAAAACAACCTTGTGAAACATATGTTGAATCATAATAAGAAGGGTGATCACCAACACCAACATGAATAGATCATTCTCCGTATAACATTTGTTCCAATTCCTCATAATTAAGTTCATCGACCTTCTCTTCATCGTCAACTATCCTAGATTCAGTTTTATCGATACTTTCCTAATCAATAGGATTGAAACTCATTTTCTTGTAACACCTCCTAAAATACTATAATAAAATATTAAAAGCATGACAAATAAAAATATCAAGGAAAATAATAGATAATAAGAATAAAAGTCATGCATAATTGCCAATGTCTTATACCTATTTTGTAAACGCAAGTTATAGTGAACAAAAACAAGATCAGTCAACCATTGATGCTCCAATCTATTTCCTCTTTTTAGTATATATGCGAAAACACTCCAATTTTGTTCATATCCTGAAGAGCTTGGAGTTTGGCTAAAAAATTTTATTGCAAACTTTTACAAATTTGGAGCACTGTACCCAAATGATCTCTACCATTCATCTAATTGAAAATTAAACATAATAAATAAAAACAATTTCATAACTCATAAATCAGACTTAAAAACTAAAACTCATAAATTTAATAACTATTACATACAAGGACTTGTGGTTTTGGAGGTTTGAAGAGCAAGCTTATGAGAAAAGCTTTCCTCCCAGTCTCGAAATAATCTACTCTCCTCTATTAACATTGTCTTGCTCAAGTTGAACGCACTTGCTTTATTGTCAATGACTTTTGGTTTGGTACAAAAAGATGTATCATCATATTTAAAGGCTGGATTCAAATAATACGCTGCAAACATGAATATCACAGCACAACGTCCTATCCCAGCGTAGCTTAATTATTCTTGTATTAGGCTTGTACAATCTCTTTTTATTTTTAAACAACTTCTTGATCACAGATTTTGCTCTATACATGCCATCATACACATATCCTATTGTAGGCATCTCATCTGAGTCAACAATCCGCAGCAAGCGTATCAATGGACTTACAACTTTCGACACCTTACCCATATCATCCCAAAAATTGTTATTTAGAATTATGCCAATAACATCTTTGCCTTATTACTTTTTGCATATCGAGAATCCACAAAAAAAATTATTTGCCACCATGGCTTGTAAGTCGTGTTTGTGCTCATGCAGGTTTCTCAATACAATGAAAGTTGTAGCAAAATGGGTTGCGCTCGGACAGACAATTTCTTTTCAACCTTGTTCAATTGATAGATAATAGATGTTAGTAAATTATATAAAAAAATGTATATTATGTTATGACTTGACAAGAACATGAGCTAAAAGTATATTACGTGTCTTTTCCTTAACCAAGCTATCAAGAATGTATGATTATATACAAACTTTGTCACATCAGATGCATGTATCGCAAGATAAATTATGTGATCCATCTCAACTATGTCTTTTAACACTAAATTTATGCAATGTGCTGCACAGGGCGACCAAATAATACTCGGATATTTCTTAGACAACATTCTTCTAACAGCTTTATAATTGGATCCATTGTTTGAGACAAAATGGACAATACTACTTGGTCCAATCCATAAAGTTATCTCCTCAAACAACTTCAACAATGTTCCAACATTTGAAGCAGCCATTGATTTCACAAAGCAAACTCCTTTAGGACAACACACCTAAAGCCGGCGGTGGGCCGTGTCGTACCTAAAATTTAAGGCCCATTGTGCCATGGTCGTGGCGTGCCAAGACCTGCAAAAATTCATGCCCTGTTGTGTCGTGTCGACCCACCAAATTTGAAGGCCCACAACACGGGCCACTATTATCGTGCCATGGGCCGGCCAGCTTGCTTTGTAAAAATATTTAATTTTAATATTCATAAATTATGGTAATTTTGATTTATTATTAATAATTATTATAAAAATATTTTAAACTTAAAATAGTTGTTACCCCCATGTGCAGGTAATTATAAACACATATAGATTACACAAAGGATTTCCTGAGCATTAACAAAATGGAGAATTAATTACACAAAACAAGCAAAAGACTGATTGGGAAATGAAAGTTGTTCAACATTAAACAAAACAAGCAAATACTAATAATCAAAATGTGCTTACAAGTTTTTACGGTCATTCAACTGCAATCTTTTTTACCTTGACAAGATTAAATATTCTGGAGTGAAAGGGTACTACATTTTCTTTTGCTCGAAATATATGAACTTGCATTGCAGTTTCTTGTGTGATCTAAAAAACGAGTGTGTCACCTATTGCTATATTTTAAACTTAAAATGGTTGTTATTAACGGCTATTTTATTTTATTTTTAAAATTTTTTTTTGTGCCATGTCGTGTCAGCCCACATGCCTTTTTTAAAGCCCACGACACGGCCTGCATAATCGTGGGTCATGTTGTGTTGTGCTTTTTTTTTTTTTTGTCGTGNCACGAACCATATTTTTTTTCTTTTTTTTTTTTTGCTTTTAACTGAGTGCAGCAATATATAATGCACTCCTTGCCCCCAGAACACCTTTTTCCAATTTTCTTCGATCTTCATAAAATGACCGAAACAACTCTCTTTGAATCGGTCTAAACCATTCCTCAGTTCCCGTAAAATCTCTATTATTCTCGTAAAAACTTGTCAAACTCTTATCGGGAAGTATGATACCTTATCGCTTACAACCTCCAACCCATAGTCTTTATAGTTTACGCTTCGAAAAATCCACACATTCGATATAAACTAAATATCAGCGAAAAAAAGAAACCAAAACAACTAATAGGCTGCCAACATATTTTGTAAACAAAGAAAAAGTATCATACAATGAACTTTTCAACTAATCTTTTCAAGTGTATGACAAAAAAAAAAAAAGGCTTTTTGTGGTTTCATTGGTTCTGTTTGAGTTAGAAATTATGGTATAAAGTTTAGTGGTGATGGTGAGCCAACCTAAAAGTAGTGACCTTCTTCTAATAATAAGCCGCATAATCGTATAATGAGATTTAATATTTGTCCTTCAATCATCTAATGTTTTGACATTCAATCAAAATATAACAAAGAAAGTAATTTGTCGGTTATATAATAAAGCAATGAAAAATCTAATGCATCATAGCCAACCCAGCAATTTAACACTTCTAACACAACAATCATAGCCAGCCTGCAAACAATCATGTAACCCCTATAGCCCTACAGTAGGGCTTGCGTGATTGTTTGGTACAATCATAGCCAACAATCATGCAAGTCCATATTGGCAAGGTTGGCCTCGCACAATGTGCGCAGCGCTATGCGTGGCTAGCCTTGCCAATATGCAAGGCAGCCCACTAAATTTGGCCACCTCTTGCCATCCCCAGCCCACCAAACTCCCTGAAACAACCTCCTTACTGCCTCCCTTGCCTTCCCCCATCCTCTAGAACCCAAACAAAGTCACTCCACCAATGCCCGCCAACTGCTCGACAAAACGCCACAACCACATCTCCCCCAAATTCGCACAAATCAATCAATTTTCTCATCCAATTCAAAAAAATAAGTAAAAATACGTACCATTTCTTCACTGGCGTCCTCCTCCTCACCTGAATTCTAGTCGGCGTCCTCCTC